CAGTTTCATAAGACTCCACTCATTGCATCTTGAAGCAGGTCACACGACATATTAGTATCACAAAACATTCAACAGCGTCTAAAGTATTTAAACTTTAAACAGCAATAATATAGGTATATACAATATAAAGCTACGTAAGCAATCATCACTAGAAAGTAAGGCCAAATTTTTGTGGTTGAGAAGAAGTAAATCCGTATTTATTCCACACGTTTTACTTTAAATTAGTTGTTTGTACAAAATAACTACCTTTTATTGATTCGCAATTGGCATCAAGTCGCCCAAATTTCAACGAATATACGCATTATATTGTTGTTACTATACCCTTGAGTGAAAATGTCAATTCGTAATAGTACGGGAAATTTGTCTTTGACCTGCACCATATGCCAAGAAACTCTTTCAGGAAATGACGACCTTCTGCGAACGGCTTGTTCGCACCTCTTTCATAGGGCTAGCTTAATAACTTGGCTGAAGAAAAATTCTTCATGCCCACAATGCAGAACAGTTTGTAGTAGTAGAGAGTTTACTCAACGTTCATGGGGAATGAAGACTAGGTCACAAGCTGCTCTCTCGAACGAAGAAAGTCAAGCCTCTACCTCTCAAACAGCAAGAGCCAACAATAGTGGCCCGACAACACAAGAGGTTTCCATTAATCCACTTAATCAGGATACGGCGCAGTCTACGCCTGAAGACAGAAGCGGAGAGGGGCGAATTCGTAATATAGTATCCGAGATTATATCAGCTAAGCAAGCAGCCATGTTTGAAAATCTTGCAAATAGGTTCGTACAAATAGTGGATCAGAGATTAGAAAACTCTATCATTAATGCTATGGCTAGGCTTAATGTACGTTCTGTCCCAGTGCAGGAAGCACTTCTCAAAATGAAGCTCTTCCTACTCAGAATAGAGCAGTACCGAACGTTACACGTGATACACCAAATGGTCCAGACAGCTTAAGCCCAAGTGCACATTTTCAGCGGCAGCTTGATAACATGCGATTTAGCGATGTTGTGCCAACTACAAGCTCGTTAAAATTCACTCACTTGATTTCCAGCTGGGGTATCAAGTTCGATGCTACTTCACGCCTGTCAGTAGATAACTTTATTTACAGAGTTGAATCGCAGGTCATTGATACACTTAATGGCAATTTCAATATTCTATGTGAGCTTGCTCAAAGTCTTTTTGCACTTGAAGCTAAAGATTGGTACTGGCGATATAGGCGCACAGTAGATCGAATAACCTGGCCATCGCTGTGTCAAGCTTTGCGTACCAATTTCGGTGAACATAAAACTGACACTGACATTAAAGAATCGATGCGTGCTCGGAGGCAAGGTCCAACAGAACTTTTCGATGACTATCGCAATGCGACACTTAAGATTGCCGAAAATCTTTCGATCCCCCTGCCAGAAAATGAGTTAGTGGACATTTTACAAAGAGGTTTAAGGCCCACGGTTAGACAAAGTTTACTTTATGTACCGATAAATTCGTTAGCAGAGCTGCGCAAACATTGTCTGAAAGGAGAAAGCCTTATCTCTTTCGAAGGTTAACCAACTCTCTAATCAACCCCACAAGCAAATGAATGAGGTCACAGAGGAAACCAGTTGCCCAAACCTGGTAGATATAGACCTTGCTAGTGGCATTGAAGAAGTCACAAGACGATCCAATTCCACCACGTTGATTTGCTGGAACTGCCGGAAAGAAGGACACCGTTTCTATGATTGCCTCAGTGACCGAACCATCTTTTGTTATGGCTGTGGTACTGTTGATATTTATAAACCAAATTGTACAATATGCCATCCGGAAAACTCGAAAGCGAGCGAGGGTTCAAAAGTGAACCTTCGCAACGACCAAACCAGACAGAAGGATAGATACTACTACCACCTGCTGTTTCAACTAGTGAAGAGAATTCTTTAGCACCAAATGAAACACTAACTAATAGTAAACGGAAAACCCATACCATTATCCCATATGAAAAGCGGTTAGAAAATTACAATAAGCTTAGGGAAGAGATTTTTGGAAAGGAACCTCATTTACGGGAGAGGAAATCGACGTGTTCCACGTTACGGTTAAAAACTTTTTGAGCGTTTGTTTCAGAAATAGAGAAGAAGTTATTGAATTCTTCCTAGTACCTAGTTTGTCACAGGAAATTATTCTAGGTATAGACTTTTGGAGAAAGTTTAGCATAGCACCTAACCTGGTATCTCAGATTGACTTAGAAGGAAAAGATAAAAGGTTTGAAATTGAACTGAACGAAAAGGAAAAGTTAGCACTTGAGCGAGTTATTAATTTGTTTCCGTCATATGAAAAAGAAGGCTTAGGAAGAACAACATTGATGGAACACGTGATTGAGTTAGCGCCAAATACAAAACCCATAAAGCAGAGATTCTTTCCAATTTCACCTGCGATCGAGAAGCTTGTCCACAAGGAAATAGATGATATGCTGCAACTAGGAGTAATTGAGGAAAGCCCAAATAGTCCCTGGTCTAGTCCAGTAGTTTTGGTTAAAAAGCCCAATAAAGTTCGATTATGCTTAGACTCTCGAAAGATTAATAGCTTCACAATAAAAGACGCATATCCTTTACCACATATTGAGGGTATTCTTAGTCGATTGCCAAAAGCCAACTTCATAACATCGTTAGATTTACGTCACGCGTTTTGGCAAATACCCTTAGCGGAGAAATCAAGAGATTCTACGTGTTTTACAGTACCGAATCGCCCATTATACCGGTATCGAGTAATGCCATTCGGTTTATGTAATGTGCCACAGGCATTGTGCCGTCTTATGGACCGCGTCGTACCATTTCACTTGAAATAAGAGGTATTTGTCTATTTGGATGACGTTCTGATAGTGTCCGAAGAGTTTGAGCGGCATTTGAACGTTTTAAGCGAAATGGCGAAATGTCTGCGGTATGCGGGCTTAACAATTAACATCCAAAAAAGTAAGTTCTGTATAAAAGAAGTCAAATATCTCGGGTATATTGTCGGAAATGGTACGCTTAGTGTAGATCCTGATAAAATATCGGCCGTATCCAATTATCCACCGCCTACATCAGTTAAGCAACTAAGACGCTTTCTCGGTATGGCGGGATGGTATAGGCGCTTCGTTGATAACTTTGCTGCTATTACGTCTCCGCTGACAATTCTTTTAAAGAAGGGTAAAGGCTTTAAATGGAACGAAGAGGCACAGCGAGCTTTTGATAATTTGAAAGAAAAGCTTTTAACTGTAGATGTAGATTATTACGGAAATTAGAAAGTTTTGATGGTGAAATTTTAGACAGAAACATGAAACAACAATTGATGCGCAAATCATTGAATGAAAGCATAAGAAAGGCTTTCGAGAGTTCAGCAAAAAGGTACAATCTACGAAGTTCTGCTAATAATTTTTCTGTAGGGGATTTAGTTTACCGGCGGAATTCTGTACTTAGTGATGCTTCCAAGAAGTTTTGCGCAAAATTCACACCTAAATTTATTAAAAGTAAAGTTATTGGCACAAAAGGCAGTTGCTTATATCATCTGGAAGACGAAGATACTCACAAAAGGGGGTTTTATCATAAAAAAGATATCAAGCCAAGAAAAATTTAATTTCGTCAACCTTTTTCAATCTTTGCAGCAGTTCCGCAAACCTTGACCTGTGCTAGGTTGCCTGCAGAATCAGTGAGGAATCAATTCAGTAACCTCCTTTTTAGGTTGTGAACAAATTGAGTAGTCTAAATCACCTCAATAGGAAATTAATAAATCAGTCGTAAGTACTAGATTATTTCAAACTGTCATCATAACAGAGCGCTGTTAAAGATTAACAGAGTAGGATTTTAGTATTGTGAGTGGTAGACAAGGGCTTCCGCCAAATATTTCTTTCTTTCTATTTTGGATTTCGAGACGTGCAGATCACAATTCGTAATAATAAACAAGTTGCCGATTTTCTACCGTGAGTAACATACTACTTAAACACGTGTGCTGTTGGCCACATGCTGACACCTATCTATTTTTCCTTATTTTATTTAGATCTTGTTAGCGAACTAAAATTTAAAGCGAAATAGGAGTATTT